AATGATCACCAAATAACGAACTCCCAAGTTTGATTTCAATGCATACGACATGGGCATGCGTTGTAAATGTGTGCTTCTGGGAAAAGCCAAGACCTGCGGCAAGAAATGCATGACTGAGTACTGCGGAATACATTGTGTCTATCAGAAAGGGATTCGTGAACAACACGTGTTCTGTATGCGGTATCGAAGTGAAATGCCATCATCGTTTGTGCAAAGCCCACAGAGCGGCCATGGTTCAAGGTTGCCTTATTTATGCAAGAAGAACGAGAATCTCAACGAAAGTATCTAACTAACCAGAACAAACAAGTTAAAACAAAACATAATATTCTACCAAAAAGTTATTGTGTACAGAATCAGCACCATGGATAAAACCGTGCGCAGGATCAATTCATTCCTAACTGAAAAAGATGTTAAATTTCACTGCGCATGGATCAAAAGTTTGAACAGGCTGTTGAATGACCAATTGAAATATAAAGTAAAAAAGAGACTTCTGCAAACAATGTCTGCACGGTCACAGTCGAGCCAACCTTTTGGAAGCACACAGAGAGGACTGCCAAGGCATGGGGCAGACATGCCCGAAGAAAACAAGAACATTCTCGAATTGGTCAACCATAACAAACAAATACGCCGACGTTTAAGCCATCATCAAAAATACCGAACGAGACACACCTGACACCACCGAACAAAGTTTCACATTCAAACTGCAAGAACATGGTTCGGTTACGTGGTGGTCCAATATGAGAGGAAAACGAAAGCTCATATGATCTACAGAGGCCACGACGTGGCCGGGCGATTTCTCACCTGTGTACTTAACGAGGAGAAAACGACTAGGAACAGTTTGTACAAAATCATACCCACATGTATGGCCCCGGAGGACTGGAGAAAAAACAAGAAGGCCAAGAGTTGTCACGTGTGCCATCGAACCCTGAATGGCGATTACAACGAGGGCAACTTGAAGCTTAGAATAAGCCCCAAAACATAAAAAAATCCCCACGGTGTTTCACAAACTTCGCGGGTATGATTCGCACTTAATCATGCAGACCATCTGGAAGATCGATGGTGACTTGACGTGCATTCCCATCAACATGGAAAAATACATCTCATTCTCGCTGGATGGACTGAAATTCATAGATAGCGTTCAATTTCTCCTGTCGTCACTAGACGGGAAATGCACAGAAGGAAATACACAGAGTTCTTAAGTTCGATCAAACTTCTTGGATGGAACCTTACATAAGGATGAACACGGATTTAAGATAACGGGCCACCAGCGATTTCGAAAAGAATTTGTTCAAGCTCATGAACAACTCAGTATTTGGCAAAACGATGGATAACTTAAGGAAACACATGAACGTGAACTTACCCAGATCTCACGAGGAAGAAAGACTCAAGAAACTGAAAGCGAGCCCGGCCTTTATCAGAAGCTAGATATTCCATTTGTGTCATTTATTTTCAAGCGTTTTTCATATTAAGTGTATGTGGTTATACATATATGGTATGAGGCAATATCTTGATTGCTCAGCCATTCCGTAAAGATGCCAAATAAAAAGATCGTCGCACAGGGTTTTTTATTGGTGTACGATAAAAGGCCGCAGATATTTAATGTTTTTTAACGCATAACAAACTTTCGGACAACTCTAGTGTAAGTTTATAGCTGTAGGTTGATCCGAAGTTTTCGCGCAACGTTCACGTTTCAGATCTTTTGCGAATGTGCTTCTGAGAAAAGACAAAAACAACGCCGTGTAAAATAATATTTACAATACTTCAAAAAAACTTTATTCAAATCAATCCATCCCGGCATACCCCAGCAATTTAGTCCTCATTATGATGGTAAAAAAGTCTTCTTTTATTCCGACACTAGGAATGATAATTAAATCTTGTATTTCTACTGCTAATTGTATCTCCTTTCGCCTGAAGTATGAGAATACTTGCTATGGATATATAACTTCTTCATTCTGTATAAGCGAAGTTGTATATCCACAAAAAGTGTCCTCTTTCTTCATCTCCTCAACTTCTAGAATGCCAATCAAAGAAGTCCTTCTGCCTGCTTTCAACGTTCATCCTTGGCAAGTGTATATCCGATTTTGTATATCTTCAAAGGGGTTAAAGTACTGTAAAATTATTGTCCTCCCGAGAGGGTACGTAAGTCCCATTACATTCAAAGTAAATTCAAATTTTCCACATTTTTAATCGTAGAATACGTGTCTTTTTAATATATGGCTAGATTTGCTAAATTGCTAACGGCTGAAGGCATGGTGTAAATCCAGCTAGGGCCCATGTAGGAAGCAAATGTACTGTCCTCTATAGTTAAAGTATTTTAGATTTAATTACTAGTTTTAAATTTCTGTCTGTGATACTCTAGTTGTTTTACTGTCCTTCGTTGACAGATTTTTATAATTTAACTTTAATTATTATTCATCTATAACTTGATTTAGTCACGATATGGCTGAAATATTGCCAAAGTGACTTTAAATTTTAACTCACACACTCACATACTTAGATGTGATATAATGGCGCCTTATATTTTTATACTTTGGACAGATGGCAAGAAGGTGATATTCATCATCAGTTTTATCCCTGTCACAAAGTGTGCAGGACTGGTTCTCAGTAGCATGACATAATCCTATAAAATACATTAGATCATATTAACCACATCGAAACTGCGATAACGATACCTTTAATTTCCTTACATTTACAACAGTTAAATACTTTTGAATATTCCTAGCCCATTCTTGCTGAAAGCAAACCTTACATCTTTGTTCAAAAAGGGATAAAATATCTGTAACATCCCCAACCCCGTGCCCAATCCATGCATATCCACGACCCGGTTGAAACAGCGTATTATTAATTAACACAGCCAGTTTTGTCTATTTCTAGCATAACTTGCATCTTCAACTAAATACAAAACCATCTTACGTATCTGACTTTTGATGGATGGCAGTGAGAACGCATTGAGATGAGTTTCAACCAATAAAAGATAGAACGTTCCAGTGCCAACAAATAGCTTGAGTAACTTCCGCATTCACCTAGTACAATGTCATTCGTTGTTGATCTGCGGATGCCCAGAACAATAACGATTTTTAATATATAGTTGATATGGGAGATTTTCAAACTACGCTGAACAGTTCTGAAAGTCTTCTTAGCTTTTAGAGTCAGATGGTTTATAGATGCCTGCTAAGTGAGATTTCTAGAAAATAGCATACCAAGAGTTGTACGACGCTGAAACTTCAATTGGAGCGAGTTTGTAGATTCACTTTTCCGCTCCAGAAAGTCTTCCCCCATATTTAAATACCACAATACTTGTCTTGCTTAAATTTGCTTGAAGAATCCATGTTTCGCAGTAATTTTCTAAAATATCAATTTGCCTTTGGACAGAACAACCTCATCAGCAAATGAAAGAACGAACGCATAGAGAACGGCAGGGAATAATTGAACGCCATCTGTAGAAGTGGACATGATTTCGTCGACCAATTCATTATTCTAAAATGAGAACAGAAACGGACTAGGAACACAACTTTGCCGTACCCCAAGAGGACAATCAGAAACTTCTTTGTTTATATTATTCGATGTACTTGCACAGGCTTTTAAGTGTTCGTAACCCTTATCCATTTTTGAGTCGTTTCTTTATAAATAAATACCAATGTATTTGTCCTTTGACAGAATCGAATGCTTTTGAATAATCAATAAAACAAGCATTGAATTTTCCACCCATGTTTGAGAGGTATTTACTGATAAGGGCCTGCAAGGTAAAGATATTATCAATTGTTAGAGCATGCTGTTCTGAAAAAACCTTGTTCTTCTTTAATTTTTTCACAGCTCTCAGCCCAGAATACAAGTATATCGTATAAGATCTTTGTATACCAAAGTCTGCCTAAAACACTGAGCAGTGGTATAACACGGTAGTTTTCAGGCAATGTTTTATCTCCATTTTGATAAAACTGTCATAATACTCAATGATTCTGACAACATCATGTACACTATTAATTCTGCAAGGACTACACATTAATCATGGTGTTTCATAATAAGATTGTGTTCAAGTTGTTTAGTTTAAAACTTCAGTACCATTCCGTTGTCTGACAATAAATATTTAGGAAAAAATCATAACATTTTCGGCAGTTTAGGTCGTGTAATCACTAAAAAACAATGTTTCTATCAACTTTTACTTGATACATTTACCTTTAATGATATGCACTCTATCGGGGTGCGTTTAAGAATCATGTCTATATATTTTAAACATTTTTTCACAAATAAGGCATTGTTCAAACTAATTACACGGAAGAGACTATTAATATGCAAAACTTAGATATACTTTTCAAGATTTAACACTAACTTTGCAGAACGTTTCAAACCCGCCGCCATTTTTTTCACACATGTCCGCATCTCCTGACACACTCAGGCAGCTCAGCAATAAATGTCAAAAAGTAATTGTAAGTATTTGTTTTTCAGGATAACTCTGAAAATTTGCACCCTACTGGGGTGCATGAGAGTTAATGGGTCAAATACTTCAACACAGTGCTCTGCCTAATAGTAACAGTCCAATCACATTGTAAAACATTTATACGTACCGATGGTAAATATAGAATGAACATAGTTATTTAAAAATTATGTTCATATAGAGAAAACTAAACGATGTCCCCTGTAATACCATATTTATGAAACGAGTGAATGATTTGGTATCTAACGAGCGAAAGCGAGTTAGATACCAATACCATTCACGACTTTCATAAATATGGTAATACACGGGACATAGTTTAGTATTTTATATATTACTCACCCAACATTAGCAACATAATATCGAGCAAAGTACTTCTTTCCTAAGAATTCAACGAGTGTGATGACTCTCAGCTTTCCGCGAGTCAAGCAAGATCTAATACTATTGCGACAGAGGTATTAGGATTGTGACGTCATAACTGTAAACCCTTTTACACAATGTGTAATGACATTGTAAAATCATTAAACAGTGATATCTTCAACGGGTGAATAATAATCAATAATATACTCACATTGACTTGTCTCCATTGTGAAGCACAATGTAACAAGGGCCAGAAAATACGAGTTTGTGTCCAACATCTTCCGTGGTTACTTATAGATTGACCTAAAGTTCTACCTTTAGATATCCAAATCAGGTTAGAAAGTCATTGTCTCGGGTGCAGCAAAACCGGTTGCGAAGACGTCTATCAGGAGAAGTGTGACATGTCTTTGAGGTTTTGTCTGCCAAATGTCTGTAAACATTTGCAGAAGGCAATATATGCCTTCACAACAGGCTACCATACACTGTAGAGAAACATGATTCTACATAGCAAGTTGTCTATGACGTTCCTTGAATGGAAATATCTATGGTAAATATCTATCAAAGCATGCGTGATGACCTGTCCTGAAATCGTCAATGCAGTAGCTATTATGAAGACGAGTACGGCTAAACAATGCACAAAACACCGTCATGCCAGCGAGACCCCATACAAAGGTATTGGGTTATTGCTCAGATATCATTAATTTAACTGCCGTCATTCAGTGGTCTATAGGTGTAAACTAATGTCCAAAAGAAACGATACCACGTGTTAGAAAAGACATTAAAGACAAACAAAACGTTACAGAAATTTTAGATTGGTATATTTCATTTGAGAATTTTTTCATTGACACATTCATTTTAATCAATCATTAGGACAGGCCTCCAAAGACGTGAGGGGTCCAAAATATATATTTCATTCAAACAAACATGACGAGGAAAGTGTGGAAAATGTCACAACAGACGTCTCAAAGTCACGTTGAAGCCCTTTTGAGACGAAATGATCGGGCTTTTAAAATAAGTCTAGTCCATCTTTATTCAATAAAAACATCCCTGAGACAATGCCGTCTGTCCAATTTAATATTCAGGAAACCAAAGGTGTATGAAAAGCGCATATTCATAAATTTAAAACCACATTGTAGTTGTTCCATTCTCTTTTTATTTCACTACCAATATCTTGACACAACTCCTCATCCACTGTTTGCGTTAACGCACGTGCATCTCGCTTTTAGCGCTGTTCCTTTCCTTGCAACTGCGCCCTTGTAACAAACTGGGACAACGCACAAATAAATGATGACAGTTTCTTAAATAACTTTTTTTATTTTTGTGACAAAGATTATGCAATTTTTTTCCAGAGTTGGTCTGTTGCTTTTATTGCACTCTGCGTTGGTTTGATTCTTTTATGTCTATTTGTTTTTGTGTTAGATTGCAATTCATCGGTATCATTTTGTCTCAAACGGACTGTAGTGACGGGTATGTCCACAATGAGCGTCAATACACACCAGTACACGTCTACGGGCTGATGACGTCAAACGTCAAACGTCAGATGATGTTGGGGGGATGCGTTGCCATTCATCAATGAGGCATTGTTCCAACGATTATTGACTTGTCGCCCATGATAAAACCGAATGTTGGCTTTGGCGAGGAATTCAGCCTTGCCGTGTGTGACCTCGCATTATCGTGATGGATAATGATTTAACAAGGCTGTTGTTGGATGAATGGCTCCACACCTGGTTGTAAAATTTCACATTGATAACGCTGTGCATGGAGGTTTCCTCGAATTATGAAGAGCCTTGTTTTGGCATCACCGCAGTTTCCACTCCAAACCGGTAAACCACTAAACAACCTCCGCCTCTGTACCATCTTCGATACACCTACTGCCGAACATCGTTCCTGAAGATGCAAAATCTGCTCTCGTTGGAAAACACGAACCGTGCCCAGTCTCGTCGTAGCCAAAGTCGAAGTCGGCTGGCCCACACCAGTCTGTTGGCTCGCTATTGAGGTGTCAGGCACGCTCCGCTTTAGGATCGACGTGCTCGAAAACCATTTGCTTGCAATCGCCTGTACACGTTTTGTCGACTTACCACGTGTCCCAGTGCCGCCCTTGCCGTTAACGTCACCATGATGAAGCGGTTCCGGATATGAAATACCCTGACGTCTTTAATAGGCGTGGTCACCCGTAGTCTCCCGCTTCTCGGCCTGTTGCTTGTCCAACCTGTTTGACGCAATCATTGCATTAACCTGGCGACGGTTGGGCATGCGCATCCTAACCTCCTGGCTGACTGACTGACTGACTGAGTTTAGATTTACGCCGCTTTTAGCAATATTCCAGCAATATCACGGCGGGGGGACACCAGAAATGGGCTTAACACATTGTGCCCATGTGGGGAATCGAACCCGGGTCTTCGGCGTGACGAGCCAACGCTTTAACCACTAGGTACCCCACCGCCCCTAACCTCCTGGCAACGTCGGTGTGCTCCCTGTTGGACCATTCCAACGACTCTCTCTCTCAATCGCTCTCAAACGTGGCATTTTTTTTGTGTGTTGTTGCTGGAATTCCAACGTGTCGAGTCAGCCATTTTACACAGTTTATCTGCACGTGCATTTCGTGCTACGGGACGTAACATCATTTTGGCAAAGTGTGCGGTTTTTTTTCGCAATTGACCAAATGTTCCCGGAGTTTTCGATCGAATAGATTTGATTTGGAACAAAGGAAACGCTCAAGAATGTTTCCATACAAAAGGGAATACTTAATTAAAAATATATTAAAAAATGTTTGGTACGGTTTCTTTTGGACATTAGTTTTGATCTTACACTGGCTAGGGTACAGTGCATCAACACACAGGAAGTTAGATATGTGAATTCCTATCAGTAGATGCAAAACAAAAACATACATGTTAACAACATGTGCATTAAATATTTTATTCTAACTATATAACACATGAACATATAGTTATGTTAACCCACACACACTTACACCAAATATATATATGGTGTGTGTGTGTGTGCGTGCGTGCGTGCGTGTGTGTGTTTTCACACAGAATGTGGTGGGCATTGGTAGACTTCCAAGGGACTGAGCATGTTCCTAGGAGAGGCGGGGTGAGCAAGTCTATGGACACTTCTCCTGCACTGATATATATGTGGATTACCATGGGTTTGATTCCATTAAAGCCTTCTTTCTACGAAACGGAAGTTTGAAGACTGCTTGTTTAAGACTAAATTACAAGTGGACACAAAACTTAAGATATTTATCGTTCCAATTTACTCCCATGATAAAGCTAGTGTTTCTTGGCTGCTAATGTCCCACCTCCCTAACAGCTGAAATTTTAGATTTATCTGAATTTACAGTAAATCCGTACTTATCTTCATACGATTCTAGAATGTCTAGCTGGCACTAAAGAAAACCATCAGTATCTGACACATGAATTACGTCATCAGCAAATAACGATATCTATAAACAATTGGACTCCATGTTTACCATGATTTGTGATCCTACAGAAAGACTAAAACTTAAACTATTAAGAATAACACTAGAATAACAACATACATCCCTCCCGTAAACCACATGAACAAATTAAATGTTCAGTTAGCTCGAATTATACCCTGACAGACGATTTCACTAGTATTAAATGCGTATAAGAGCTTGTAAAATTCTACCATCTATGCCATATGATGAAAGCAATTTGCAAAGTTTATTTCTATATCTTATTCTCGACGATAGCAATTGAACAACTGAATCCGAAACCTGATATTCAGAAACTTTATCCAAAATATTTGTCCATCAGTCATTTAAAACACAAATATAAATGTTTCCGAGTGAGCTGAGCAAACCCATAGTCCCAAAATAGGGAAATGTATTAAACGTATTCAAGTGTAATTAAGTCGATTGAGCTTGGACATAGATGACGGAAATTCGACACACTGATGAACATATATATTGTTGTCATTGTCAGCCTTAATTCAGTTCACTTGTGGACACGAGGGGGCGTTCAGGTCTGTACCTAGTGACACCACGCCTTGCAGCCGTCACTGCTCGACACCGCCTTGGAAGGGGTTGCACAAGTAGTCGAATCTTTGCTTGAGAATTCTTCGCCATTCCTCCTACAACGCGTTGGCAAGTCTGCAAGGGTCTGAGGACGATGGTGACGTTCACGGACACGTCGATCAAGTTCGTCCCATAGATGCTCGATCAGGGTCAGATCAGGCGATTTGGAAGGCCAGGGAAGGGCATTGACGTTTGTATTGGTGGGATAGGCACCCGTTACACGAGCTGTATGGAGTCGAGCGTTGTTGAGTTGAAACAGCTCCCGCTGGCTGTTAAAACGTCTGAGGAGGTGAGGTCACAGGATTTGGTCGATGTAGCGATTTGCTGTAAGATGAACCACAATTTGCTTTGATCTACCCGTGTAGGACATGGCTCCCCACACCATGACGCTTCTACAAAAATCTGTCCACCTGTCGAACGTTCGTTTTGACGTCGATAGACACGTTGTCTCACATCCCGTCGTTGTAGGAAGAAACGCGATTCACTGAACCAAGCGCGTTCCATGCGTTCCCCAGGTTCCATGCCTGTACCCTGTTGCACTATTCGACACGTGGTTGTCGGTGTAGTTGTGTCAGGACAGGTCCAACTTTTGGTCGATATGCTCGAATTCCCACTTCTCTCAGACGATTTCTGATGGTTTGGTCGGAAATTCTTCGAAGACCAGGCAACTGTCCTGCAGTGTATGCTGCTGTTAGCAAATCGGTGACGTAGGTGGAACTCCTGGATGAATCGGTCCTTTGCAGGAGTGGTCACTCTGGGTCTTTCACTTTTGGGACAATATTTGGTCGAAGCGGGCATAATCGAGATATCATAATCGAGATATGGTGCTGTGGTGGACGTTGAAGTGTCCTGCAACGGCAGACTGGGATCAGTTGCATTCAATCTTGGCATTTTTTTGTCTTCGTTTACATCGCAAATTTCGTAATGAAATGATGAATTTGGTTTGGTCGATGTCTCTACTCATGTGTCCGACACATTGCACGTGCATTACGTGGAAAACTTTTTCTGTATGCACTTTTCATGTAACGTTTTCATTTTGACACTGGAAAACACTGGACACTGGACCTAATCCCTTGTTGATTGATGAGTGAGTCAAGGCAAGTAATAGTCACCAATTAACGAGGCCTACTGCCTTGTTAATTAACAAGTTTTTATGCCTCTTAAATAAGCCTCTGGAAGTAAGTTAAATCTTTCATGGGCATTAAGAAGTGGAATGCATTACTGTGACCTGATTTTCACCTGAAGAAGGAGCAAGCATATGCTCCGAAACTTCGTGTTATTCACAATAAAGAAGTTGACATCCATAAATCTTGCTTTTCTTATTAGAAAGGTAAGTTATTAAAATCTGCTGAGCTGTAGGCTTGTTAATCATGTCGCGGTGTGATTATAGCTCTAACACACCTGAGAGATTCGTCAACAGTGTGGTATGCACAGGCGGTGAAACTTGTATTGTATTACATTGGGTTGGTTGCATATTGTTTTTTGTTATGCT